AGTTTTGTAAATGATGTTTTTGAGCGTATTGCTGCTGAAGCTTCACGCTTGGCACATTACAACAAGAGATCGACCATTACATCCCGGGAGATCCAAACTGCCGTCAGACTGCTGTTGCCTGGTGAATTAGCCAAGCACGCTGTATCTGAAGGCACCAAAGCTGTCACCAAGTACACCAGTTCGAAGTAAACGCTGCAGCGTTTTTTAATCGGCCCTTTTCAGGGCCAACAAATTTCTAATACGTAGAAACAGCCTGGTTTTAACATTTCACCTATTTTCCTCCCTCTTCACCATATTATATAATATGAAAAGTTGTTCTAGACGTCCTTATGTAATTTTGTAATTATAATAGTTAACTGCAACTGTATTCGGTCATCGTATGCTAAAATTATTTCACAATTTTATCTGTCAGCCACATTTTGTTACAAGTTCATTACATAAAGTGCAGTAGAAAATTTTATCAGGCATAAACGTAAATTTTGTAATTGACGGGACTATTGCAAACAGTTAAGATCATTTCTAGTTTTCTCGGAAATACAGTTAGTCTTCTGACAGAGTTGTAAATTTGCAATTTTTTTTTAAATTTGATACAAAAATTGCAGTCTCGTTTTTGTTTACAAGAATTCAGATGAATTTTTTTCTCAATTAAATGTGTGTAAGAGGTTCAAATCTGAAGTTTTATTAATTTTCCGCGGTTGCTGTTTGACTTGCGCAGTACGCACCATGTAACATCCAATGGAGCGATCAATGATGCTTCTCTCTTTTAATTTATAACATTGTGTTCATCTTATCTTATAGTACAAAGGAATACACTATAAGTTAAGAATTTCAGTATTCGTTATCATGAAAAAAGCACTACATTTGTTACAAGCGATATAACCTAATATCTAACGTTATTGTTCTAACCTAAATTCATATCTAACAAATGTTTTATGCAATAGCATTCCTGTTTATTCAGCCAACAAACATTTGAATCCACTTTAAAATATTTATTCCTTTTTTAATCAAAATAAATATATAATGAAAGTAATATTGATCTTATCTTGACATGAAATTGATCAAAATTACAATGCGATTTTACATCATAAAAATTTTATTTGTGCGAAAGAATCTGTGATAAAAAATGTCGATGGAAATAATATAAAATTTGTTATTAACAATGGTTTTGAAATCACTAGTAGAGACACTGCAACGCCATTGATTACATGTTACGTAGATGGAGCAACTGTCCTTTAGCGACATACTTAAGTTTGAGTTCACAGGAGGAATGATTAAACAATGCATTAAAAAAAGTATGCCACTAAAAAAGTAAATTTAAGTTAGATGATTTTTTAGGTTACCGTAATTTTTAAATGTTCTATTATTATTAAACACTCCCTTTCTTTATGAATTTGTGATACTGAGAAGAAAGGTCCGCTGTATACAATCTCTTTAGAATATAATAATTCAGATTTTGCACAATTATTATACATATAGCGACTCTGCCACAATGCTCAAATTGAGAAATTGTTCTATTAAATTTTTATCGACCTTTGAAACATGCAATATTTTTTATATATAAAGAACAACATTTTAACATTAAGGCGGACAAATCGATGTGTTCCGTGATTTATGATTCAACTTTCTGTTTTGGTAGAGAACTTTCTATTCTACAAACCCCAGAATCAGAGTGTATCAAGTCTATGTTTTTAACAATAGATATTTGACCATTGGAGTGTCTACGTAGAAACCAAGCCGAGTCTGTTCTCTCCCTTATTGCAGCTATTGCCCCTCCCTGCGTAGCATAAGAGATGTACATACGTAAAATGCACAATATTTTGCACATCTCGTATCAGAAATTTAACAATTTTCAAAGCTGTACATTTCTAAGACTTGCAACAGTAGCTTACTCGTGTCTGGTTGGTGCTACATATTAAAACCGAAGATCTTGGTTCACCCTAGACAAAAATTCTAGTTACGCCATTTTATTTTACGTTCCTCGCACCAAAATTATTCTATTGAGTCTATGTCTTATTCTAAAATTTGTATTGTTTCGGTCAGAATAACTTGATCTTCCAATAACGTGTAATATATTATTCAAAAAATCTTTGTTGTATTCAATCTTTAACCCTTCGACCACATCACGCTTCAAGAAAAATCCATCAATATTTCGATGCTATATTTTTACAATTTATTCTTACCTTTTCGCGGAGAGATGTTAATACATCACTTCATATTTAGTCAATTATGTTGTTGCTATGCACCTCATACCAAGTAACATGCATTCTATTAATTTAATAAAACAAAAAATATACATTTCATTCATGAAAACATATATATACAGTTTTTACAAAGCGTTAAAAGCCATAAATTTGTTCATCCTTAAATAACCAGTTTTCCTAAAAATATATAGGTCTTGAACATTCATAAATTACAATCCTTACAATACAAAATTTTATTGTATTAAATTTTACTACGTTCATCCTACCCAAGTGAAAATATTAAATCGTTTACATTTGTCAATTTAAAGAACAAATTACTTTAGACAAGGTCTAACATATACACACTACTGTCATTTAGATGTAAGAATGTAAGAGTAGTTAATACGATTGAAAGTTAAAAATAGGCGGTTCAAAGTATTAAAATTAGACAGATTAGTTAAGAAAAACGATTTCAAATATATAAAGTGAATGTTATTCATACTAATGACAGTGGATTTCAATCTGAGGATAAAGAATATCCATGGTTTATATCGAGTATCGCGACGCGGTGAAATGTTTATCGTGTTTTTTCCGTGTTCGTTGCTATTACAGTACAAACAATGTAACGTAAATATGCAGCAAGTCTTCCTGAACAATTTTCTATACGAGTACTATGTAAATTTTTCAGTAAATGTTCGGATTTTTAACTTTTTGTACATGACACACCGCTGCGTCGAAAATATGAGGTTCGCTGTTCGGCTGTATATTTCTGTTTACGAGAGGGAGTTGTCCAATATGAAGTATGTGATAAAAACTACAAACACGCAGCTACATTTTCACGTGCCATTCACCTGCGAACATTCATTCAAAGCTAAAAAACAAAGCTCGAATGTTAAGGTTTATTTACCACTTCTTCAGTGTCATAGAATCGTGGCGTCCGACATATCAGGTAGGTCTCTCTCCGTGGTCCGCGCTTAGAACGTAAGACCGCGGTATACCGCGTCGGTCTTCTTAGTAGAAAATTTCCATAAGCTTATCGTTGTTCATTGAGTTGGTTCGGAACTTGTTTTTTGTGAGTTTTACACCATAATCAACCGTAAACGAGGAAACATGGAGAGCAAGGCTAATTCTAGCACTGCTGCGATCGAAACCGCTGAAAACCTAACCGTGCCAGCGAAAAAGGCAGGTAAAGCTAAGGCAAAATCGCAACATACGAAAGCGACGCATCCGCCAACTTCCGAGATGGTCCATGCCGCTATCAGAGAGCTGAAAGATCGCAAAGGATCATCCGTGCAAGCTATCAAGAAGTACATCACTACGACGTACGAGGTGGACGGAGAGAAATTTGCTCCGTTCATTAAACGATACTTGAAATCCGCCGTGACATCTGGAGCTGTAGTCCAGACTAAGGGTAAAGGGGCATCCGGTTCTTTCAAACTTTCTATGGGAAGAACTGACAGATCGAAATTGAAGAAGGGGTTGCGATCGTTGAAGAAACTTGAATCGCAGAATGTGCCTTCGGTCGAGAAGAAGACCGTGGCCAAGAAAACTGTAAGCAAGAAGGTGGCAGCTTCACCTAAGAAAGCTGTTGCAGAAAAGAAGGCAGCACCAGTCAAGAAAGCTGCAGCAAAAACCACTGCTGCAAAATCTAAGGCTGACGTTAAGACTGTGTCCAAGTCTAAGAAGACCACGAAAGCTCCTGCTGCGAAAACCAGAATTCCCAAACCCAAGAAGGCTGCGGCTAAATCAGCCAAAAAATAATTCCCTTTCCCAATGATGGCATTTGATCTTCATAAAAAACGGTCCTTTTCAGGACCATCAAATATTTAATACGAGGAACTACTTTCGTTCTACACTTAGAACAATTCTTTTAATAAATTACAGCATTACTCCTACTGAAATAATTATATGCGTATATACCATGCAACCATTATGGTTTGTTTTCAAATATATGAAACCACAGAAATATTTTTAGGTACATCATCGGATATACGCATATTGATGAACTAATGAAATAAATATAAAATTATCCTGTTATGTTCCTATATTCCTCCTCCTCATATATTTAATGAATTTTAACCTCTTAGAAGATTTGAAACGATTCACTGAAGCAAGCTTTCAATTTAAGGTTAGGTTCGAACTGTCAGCGGGAAAACTTGTTTATACACTCCGTCCGAATGCATATCACGAATAGTTTCGAAAATATTAGCGCTATTTTTAGATGAGCTTTAAAGAAATGTAGTTTCGAAGATTTTTAGAGAAAATAGTAGTAGGTGAATAGAAGGCACGCATAGAATACTGATTTGATAACGGGTTCGTACCGTTCATGCGTCAACAACATATTTCCTTATTTTCAAATATCTTTTAAACGTTTAAAATATATTCTAAGAGAAAAATTATATTTGTAAGAAGTTAACAATAGGACAACGTAATGAACAATAATGTGCCTTGCAAAATCTATGCCTGGGAAACAAATTTCATTTGCGTCTTGTGTTCGAGGCCCGTAACTAAAATGGCGCATCTTTTCTCTGAACTTCGTAGTCTGCAATGCATTTACCAAAGAAGGTTTATAAAAAATATCTCCTGACTTAAACGTCATATTTTCCGTTCGTATGCTATAAAAAAACTACTATGAATGCTAATTAAATAATTCACAATTATTTTTAATGTGCATACGTATTTACAATTGCTAGGTTAGCGACACAAAATACTGGGAGGTAGAACTGAATAGAGTACAAATTGAAACTACTGTACGAAAACACAGGAGAGTTCCAAAAATATAGATATACGAATATAAGTTTTAAGTAAATAAATGGACACTAAATATCTATTAACAATGAGTTTATTATTTGAAGAATACATCATTATACACGTTTTTCAATCATTTCATTAGCATTTAACGTACGCAAACAATTTTGTATGATTCACTGTAGCAGTACTTTAATTATTTATTAAAAATATGATATGTAACGACGTGTGAACTGTATTTGCAAAACTATCTTCTATTTTCACTACCGCATCATAAATATATGCATCCATGTATTGTTGAACATTTGATTCTTGAAGCTGGTATGATCGTTGAATGCAACTCCACTATGGTGAGAATGCCGGCATATGGTCAAACCATGAGGTCGCTCCTGATTGGTGCGCTGCTAGCTACCGCCGGCCATTATATAAGGAGGGGCTGCAGACCGTCAGCTCACATTCACTCTGCAACCATCGACCTGATCGTAGTAGCAGTGTTCTATCCAAGCGATACAATTTCATCATGCCGCCCAAAGCAAGTGGAAAAGCTGTGAAGAAAGCTGGCAAAGCCCAGAAGAA